GCCCTCCTCTCCGCCAGGCAGACCCCCCCAACCTCCCCAGCCTGTCCCCATGGCAGAGGGGCTCCAGCCCTCGGAGCATCTTCCTGCTCTTCCTCCCTTGCCTGTGGCACAGGGTGCTGCTAGTCACGCAGACATCACTCCATTATCGTTCTTTGCAAGCCATAGCTGTGGTCCAGGATCCAGAGGCTTTCCACAGCCTTTCTGGAAGATGGGAAGGTTGACGTGAGAGCTACGGTGATTTTTCATGTGACAATCATACACGTTAACAAGGGAGAGGGAATGGAGTGAGTCTGGAAAGGGAACATCATGTCATGCTTCAGTCAAATCCACGGTGGGGAGCTAGGACTTTCCAGCCCCACGGACTCTCAGCTACCAGCTACCCCTGGGAAATACTGCATTAAAAAAAGGAGAATTTTTTTTTATCTGTCATAAGATCAAAATTGCAAACTATTTTTTCATTTTGAAGCTCCGTTGTGCCTGTAAACTTTGGTTAAATGCAAACCAAGCTACTTTCTCACATGAGGAGGTCCAGAGGGAATCCACTGTGCTCAGGGGTAAGAGCAAAATAAGATGTCTGGAACCAACCAGAAAGCACTTGGGCTGTGTTCTCTGAGCCAGCCGACAGCTAAGCCGCCTGCCTTCTTCTGGGGGTCTGTGCCTGTAGCAGAAGATCTTACTGATCTCAAAAACCTGTAGTTCCTTCCTCCCTGGTTTTCATCAGCTGAGCTCCAAAATCTTCCCTCATTCCACAAATTCCCCTCTCTGCAGTAGTGGAGCCTGGATTAGTCCCATGGTGGGACCTCAGGCAACACGGGAACGGTGAGGGGGGTTTGTGGAAGGACCCTGGATCTGGCTGGACGTGTGAGCTCAGACTCTTCCCTATATAGAAGTTAATTTCCTTCCATGCCAAGGAGTCTCGGAGGTTTCCAGACTGGAGCCCACAAGATTGCTTCTTCCCTCTGGGCACACTCTGTCTGCAGTCCGGAATGGCATCCGCAGTCTGGGATAACTCAGCCACCGATGCCAAGGGAGATGAAATACCTGATGCTTTCACCGCCTGTAGCCTGAGGGGTGTTGGAGCATCACGCAGAATGACCTGAGGGAGCAGAAAACTGGAGCCAGCTGCCCTGGCACCAAACCCAAGCTAGACTCAGGGAAACCACATTGCTGCTTTTATCAGCCTCCAGTGATTTTCCAGTGATTTTCTCACGGCAAGAACTCCTGCTCTAACCTGAACCAGCAACGCACCGTCTCATTGCCGTTTCTAGTTAAACAGAGCAACGAGATGTCCAGTGAAATAAAACCCTGGATTTTTTTTTTCCAGTGCTTAGTGTCAGAACTATGTTAAGAAGCCCTTCGGAGGGTCTGAGCTCCAAGAGGCTTGTCAGAAAAATCACGATCAAAATCTATTACAGAGAAGTGAATGACATTCCTAGGGCAGTGAACGAGCGTTTGCCTGAAAACTCGGAGAACTTAGAGGAGAAAAATTGGTTTGCTGTGCAGAAACGGGAAGCATGCTTGGAAGTCCGACTGTCCTAAACCCTGCAGCAAGTATTTACAAACAGAGCTGTGTTGTGCAAAGCTCTGCTGCCATCGCAGGGCTCGCCAGCATCGCTGTAAACCGAGTGAAGAGGGCTACAGGCGCTGCTGGTGAGCGTGGTTTCATGAGATGCCTTCTGCTAGAGGGGTAACGGGTTGTGCTCACATCCCGCCTCCAAAAACTCTGCAGGAGCTGCAGACCCTTCCTCATCTTGGCAGTTTGATTCCTTCTTGTTTCCAAATCCTGCAGCGAAGCCGGGCTTGTGCCGTTCAGCTGTCGTGGAAGGCAGCTGGGATTCCAGCTCCAGGCATGGGCTGCAGGGCACGATCAGTCCCTGCAGTGAGCTAAAGCAGTGCTCTCAGGGTGGGGTGAGTTTCTAGGAAATACGTAAATAGCTTCTTTAGAAGTGCTTGTGTGAATTTTGGGGGATTTCTCACACAGAGCGAAGAGCCTCTGGCTGTGAGCTGTGGAGAAATGAAGGCTGACGCGTGGCTCTGGGTCCGGCACAGACCCAAAATACTGAAAATTTGGAAGTGTAATATAGAGGGAAGATCTCATCAGGAATGACCTTGATGAAAGCCTGGACTCTGCTGAAGGTCGTCCTGATTTAGGAGAGAATTCCTGCAGCCAGGAACACTGCAGGGCAGCGCTTCAACACAGGCTTACATCTCAAGCGAGAGCTTAAATTAAATGCCTGTAGAAGTGCTCTCCTGAGGAAGTTTGGACGTGAGCCTGCTCTTGCCGTGCCTGATGGCACGGGGTGGGCTGATGGTCTGCCCCGTGGTCTTTTCTCTGGTAGCTGGGCCACCAACAGTTTCACAAAGGGTTTGTTGGTGAGGTTCTCAGTGGTGCTAATCAGCTGGTCTTATGGGTGGTTTTTCTTTCAACACTGATAAAATCAAGTAACCAAAGACCAAAGAGATGGAAACCAACATCGACCAAGTCAACATCAATACAACATCAACCAAGTCAAACCCATCCAAGGGTGGTTTCTCTATATCACAAGACGAACCAGCCAAGCTGTGTCACCAGCTTTGTTGTGTGTGTTGTTTCCTACAACATCTGAACCCTCAGCGAGCCACTCCTTTAAGGATCTAAGCTGCTATTTGGAAAGAAAAGCTTGTGGTCCCTGTGGTTCTAAGGAAACACAGTGGAAAATACAGTTCTGAGTGTAGCTGGAAAGGAAAAGAACCAAAAAGTGACCGGTTGTGAGCCAGCCTCAGTCTGTCGGGGTCTGAGTCACCGGTCCCAAGAGCTTGGGCTGGCCGGTTGCGATACAACGGCGAACGTTACGAGGAACGCTAAATAGCATCAGAATGAGATCTTATTTAAGTTATATAGCAACGCACACCATGGCTGCATCTGAGATGTAACCTTACATCTCAGGAAAACCTGACTTCTCCCAAGAGTGTGATTTCTCACACTTCTTAAGTCGGAAGAGACTTTTGTGCTGCTTTCAGTTGCTCAACACAAAGGGGGAGGGGTGGTGGTGTTGAAATCCACCCTGTTTTCACCCTACCTTTGGCAGCAGGGGTTTTGATCTCTGATCTGTAGCTGTATTTTACGAGCTCATGCACTATGGCTTGCATGTTCTCAGAAAGCTTGCCTCTCCGATGGATCCAGCTGCCTAAAACTGAGGCTGTTTTATAACCAGCTCTGGAATCAGCTTCATTCTGGGGCTCTGCTGTCGCGCTCTCAGTGCACATTCAGCTGGGATGGATCAAGGGACCCCCAAACTTGGTCCTTTTCTTCCCATCCTCTCCCTGTCCTGGCCATCTCCATAAGGCGAATGATGACCCTCGCAGCTGCTGCATATGTTGAGCGGCGACTGCAGAGGTGCTGCCCTCTCTTTGCAGCTGCACAGAGCTGTGTCTGCAAGACGTTCACCTTTTTCATCCTCCCTATCCTAGCTGGATGCCTGTAACAGCCTCTGCCTGCTCTGAGGAACTGCATAAAAGCAGAAGATGCTTGGGGGAGAGGTTGGTTTATCTGCTGGGCTCTTAGCACTATTCCAGTTAAGTCATCATCAGTCATTCCCAAAAGGTCACTGGGATTTATTAGATTTCTATTTAGACTTATAATTGGTCTCCTGTTTCTAAGAACACTTACGGACTTTAAGTCCTTGAAGACATTTCATTTTCCATCAGTGCCTCCGTCGTGCAGATCCTGGAAACTCATTTCTGGTGGCTAAAGAGCAAATACTGTTCTCATAATAGGAACTTCCCTTCTGATCCTTTTGGGCCACCGCCAGTTCCTCCTCCCTTAGCCTGCGGCCATGAGACACATTTCTCACGAGCCTCTAATCTCGTTTTGTTCCCACCTGACAGTTTGGGAGGGTGTTATGTACGCAGACAGCGATTTGGTTTCCAGGAGGAAGCTGACACTTCTCTTTCTATTGTTTGTTGTTATATCTTTGTCTTTTTTACAGCCAGGGAAGCTTTCGAAGAGGCAGGAAACATCTTAAGTGGCCATGTAACGATGGGGATGTATTTTGAAGACGATGCTTTGGCTATGTAAGTTGTTTCTCTTTTTCTTCGGTGAGAATTCAAACTGATCTGCAGTGGCAGCCAGTGCCTAGAGCAAGTGTCACTGGCCATGATGAGTGTGTACCAGCAAAATCTAAGCAGCTACTGTGTGATTTAGTCTTGTGAGGAGGTTGGTCAGGACTCAGCCAGACGGAGATGTAACTCTGGCTCTGCCAATGACTCACAACCTGCCCATGGGCAACTCATTTAACCCTGTTGAAATGGACAGTCATCTCCCTTCCTGTTCCTCAAGTTCACGCTGGGTATTTTCAGTCCTCCAGCTGTGCCAGCCCCCCACGCATCTGTTGGGTTCCTCATACAAATGGGACTAAACTTCTAGGGAGGAAATAACAGGCTGGAAAAATGCTACCCTCCAGCCCTCCAGCTAGGCTCAGTGTGCGAGGAAGGAAAAACCAGTTCCCTCCTTCTCTTTCTACCAGGGAGAAGTATAAAATGGTTTAGGTTGGAAGGAATCTT